CCCACGTCACATGAGTCCTATCCCTAAGTAATGTGATTTTCTTCTCTCAGTCACATGAATGCCACCAATATCATATCAAATATCATTCAAAGGTCACACACATATCGCAAAATGTCAAACAATGACCACATGGGGCACGGGCAGAGGTCACATGGGAGTCATACAGAGTCACACTGCCATGGGTTGCATGATCACACAAAGGTCCGAAGAGTGACGCAGATTTAGGATACAAATCATACCCGGTCCCAAACACTCTCGCAGAGCGATATTATACAGAGTTTCTAGAATCGAGGCCTTTACTAATGGGGTTTTATTTGCCCAATCTAATCGGTACCCGTGAGCTCAGATCATGACAGCAGAAACTCATTCCTCATAACCCGTACACTTCAGTTACTCAGCATCAATACGCGCTCGGGTGGGGGTCAAATTGATCCCCGAAGGTTTTTCCAGAATGCTTTCTGAACAGCTAGGCGCATCCCCGCCAAAATTTGCATGGATGTAAACAATTGAATAGTAGATCGCTTGATGCAAGAAACTGATACGGACCTCGCAAGACATCTGACCTACATTATGACGTGTCAAGGCCAGGTCATGACTGTCTGCGAGTGATATTTCCAGGGAATCGTTCAACGTGCGGTAATAGTATAGTGTTAAATGAAGCCAAATATATCTGAGATAGTTTCTGAGAAATAGCAACTCAATTTAAAACTACAACCAATCTCATTGACCTAGGGTTAGGTACGAAGGTCAGACCGAGGTCAAAACTAACCTGTTTTTTACTCGAGAGCTTGGTTTATGGGGTAGCATCTGATGCTCATTTCGAATCATTTAGTGACAGGGACCGCAATAGACACATTCCATGAATTTTTCAAAGATCAGGATTGGTCACTGACCTGAAATGACCCGTTCAGCACTTTGTTTTTGGGACATGCCGCCTGGCGTGATCCCTGAAGCTTATTTGAGCGGCAAAATAGGAGCCATCTTGTACGAATGTGGTCAACTTGACATCATAGAGGTCACATAATGCCACTGATTTTAGTTGGAAATCATCGGCCTTTTGTTTAGAACAGGTGTCTAACTTCGCGGTGGTTGCATGGGGACGTCTGGGGGCACTGAGGACACCAATCTGAGGTTCGATCTCATCTGACCTTATTTTATCACAAGGTTATGACCTAGAAACGTCAAATTTTGACTCAAGTGAGTTCACGTGCAGGCCAACTAACGCTGTGAATTTCGTATTTCTAGCCATTATTTTTCTGGGATCTTAGGGGGTTAAATCGAACTCCCCGAGCGAAGGGTATTTAACCAGCCACCCTGGCGAGTGTCATTTGCCAAGGCAGATGGCGCCACATGTACATGCAGACCACATAAGCGTCCCGGCTCGGAAACGTAAAGGTCACGCGAAACCTAGCCACTGAACTCAGTCAAGCACGCAGGCCAAAAGATAACAGACGAGTTTAAGAGCATATCCGAAGGGAAACAGCATGATTGCCACGAAGATAAGTCACAATAAATTTAGCAGAACGTTGTCGAGCCAAATCTTGACCGACGGTTTGACCATGGCCAAGCGCAAACAATCTTGTAAATTCGCGGGGAGCACCTTTCTCGGACAAAAGGTACCAAAAACTCCAGTTTCCTCGATGCAGCAAAAACCAGACATTCATTTGTTCATTTCAGCGTCACTACCATAACGCTGATCACAACACCATGCTTATGTTGCAACGCAAAAGGCGCGCGAGCCTGCTAAGTTTTCTCACGGCGATTACGATGGCTGCATCAGATTTCTGGCATAAAGTAACGGTTTTTAACAGAATTTTGACGCTCGGAATTAAATTTGGGCGGTAGCTAACATTCACAGGAGGATCGTCTTCGCGACTTCGGGACATCTCGTGAAAACAAATGGGCACTGAACCTTGCACAATCCGATGACAATTTCGCTGCGTGTTGCAGTTTGCTTCAGAGCAAGGACTGAAGAGCACAAAAATCCGGCGGTGATTAAAGCAAGCTAAAAATAGGTCAAGTTTTGGTATAACTTAGCCGGTAAAAACACCCACAGCTATCGGAGAGAGCCTATGGGGCCCTTCTCAATTCCGGTTGCGTTCAGATCAGCCAGTATGTAAATGCCCGTCCCTTGTATCTGTGCCTGAGGCTGTTAGCTATTATTATGATCCGCTTATATATTACTGCACCTACCATTGCAACGGCGGAGAGATCATTACATTGGTAGGCAGATATCATTGAATTATCGCCATCTTCCTTGAAATACATTCGTTGAAAAAATTTCCACATTGAAATGGGAACGCATTGCTTCAAGAGCAATGCGTGAATCACCACCCATCATCTCAACACGATCATGTCATCATTCGACAGGATTATGCTATCATGCACGCCATCACATTAAATGACATTTCGTTAGAAAACACTATCTTAATGAAACACTCGGGTGTGCAGTGCTCCGGGTCCGACAGCTGTCATAATTGATGTGGACGATAATTAAGGAACACACGGTCATAATCGCGCGTGAAATGCAACAAATGGTTTGCTCGTGAATAACAGTAGCAAGTCAACACAGCACGTGCTTTTACTTGTGCCTAAAATTCATAGTTTGTGCTTCAAAAATTAAACGACCGGAGATTTACAAACCCGGCATTCAAGCCTACAAGATGCGTTGCACCCTTTGCATTTGCATTTTCGCAATGGAACAACCCTCTCAGTTATCTACGAATAACGTCCAAGCGTTTCCGCCACGGAAGGAATATGTTTTTGCCACCCGAGCCAAGCCGTCGTGTTGATTCTCTAGTTTTCCCCTTGCATTGTCAATTAGTCGATTATACACAACAAGACACGATTAGACACGATAAGACACGATTACTTTGGGCAAGCACAACGATTGTCGAGGGAAGAACCTACACAGCAGTGTCTATTCGCTATCTACGAACACACAAAAAAACAACAATAAGAACAACATGCAGCCCAAAACAAGAGCAAAAACAACAGGCAATACAACGTAAGACAACATGAGGGACGAAGAGAAAGAAGAAGAAGCTGGTCTACTCACGTCACTCAGAAGTTCGTCAACCCATCGAAACTTTGCCAGGAGAGGAGCAAAGCAGGACTGAAGAAGGCTGTCTCTTGTCAACGGGAAAAGTCGCGAAAATCGTCCAGCAAAGTCGCAAAGTCACACTCAAAAGTCGAAAGCTGCATGCCCAACCGCATAGCTCGGCTGGTTGGAGCGTCCGTCCCCCATCCCAGCCGTGGCGGGCTCGGTGGGTGGGTTCGGATCGCCACGCGCAGCCTCTGTTGGCCACTGACTGGGGTAACGAGCGCCCGATGACAGCGAGCGCTCGAGATCAGCTGAGCTCAGAACGCGGTACGGACCGTGCCAAGCGCTGTGGCATGTTGAAGACAATTTTTCGCATGAAGATACTGAGCAAGCATCAGGTACGACGAAACAAGCTCACTTATAGGTATTGATATACTTTTAAGTGGAAAAGACTGCTCTAGACAGCCCAATTTTCTGTTTAGAAAATATGCTCCTCAATGCGTCATGGTTTGATCACGTCATCGTACCTTGCACAACATTGATTGAGAGCCAATGGGCAGTCGTTCTAACTGGAAATCGTACTCACAAACGCCAGATATGAACGCCTGGATAACTCTTCTTTTGACCTTGATCGCCGCGTGGCTTATGGAAAGACCTTACTATGACGTCATGAATGTGGCGATGACTTGGAAATGCTCTCCCCGAAGTGCTCTCACCATTTTCGCGCGAGTTTAGCTCACAAACTAGACAGGCTTAGGTCTTAAGGAGAGCATAATTGTGATCAGCACCGAAAGGTCTTCAGGATGGCTATTGCAGTTCAAAACCTCACATAAATGTGGAACACTCCCTTAAAACTGTCGTCACAAATCTCAGCCGTCGCCCTGAAATTGCACGGTCGGATGGTGAAGTCGGAGCCCACACAGCGGGCGCTGTTTAACATGCGCTCTGGTCCCAGAAAGCCACCCAATCGAAAAATTCGGACCAAAGCCGTCAAAACGCAACAAAAGGTCATGTACACATGAGTACGCGGACGCGCTTGGTACAACGCAGCGCAATCAACGCATTCTCCAAGACCGCCGGTGGCCAATGGCTATCCAAGACCACCACCGACCACGGTGTGTGTCGCTGTCGACTGTTTGGAAGCGTGAGCCGCGCAGCTAGTGTGAAGGGCCGTGAGTGGCAGAACATGCTAGCGCCTTGCGCCGGCGCCATGAGCGCCAGGAGCGCCATGCGCCAGCGCCGTGAGCGCCATGTACCGGCGCCATGTGAGTGGTGCTACAGTGCAATGGGCGCCATGAGCGCCAGAAGAAATAAATGTGAACGCTGACTGCTGGAGTATGCTGTGGAAAATCAGACAATAAGAGGAATCTTAACTGATAAGGAAGAAAATAAAAGAATGAGAAGTAAGCGCACCTTTATCACAAGAAATGTTTACAATTTGAAAGGAAACAATTAACAGAAGAATGACGTGGTAAGCAATAATGAGGCAGTATCATGCTGGTGAGTGGTTTTAGCGCAATTTAAAGCCATTTTCGTTTTGTAGTGTTAGGACCGTACAAGACGAAATGTTCCCGTCTGCTTAGCTGTTGTGACTCTCACATATATGACTATGGCATTCCAAGTTCGTTCACATGAACACATGCAGACCTACGATGTCGGAGGGGGGGGGGGGGGGGTGAGGGCGGGTAGGGTTCCAATGTCTGCATTTTTCGCCCCTCCCCCCAAAAAACAAATAGAGTTTAAATGGATTCACAACCACATGGCACACACGCCACTTGCCGTACGAGAAGCAAAACTCCCATCAAAGACTCGAAGAAAGCACGTCCTTTACAACGTTCAACAACTATTCCAGCGCAACGCCACTACTTGCCGGGTGGCGAAACCCCCTTTCTACGCCCCCGTCGCCCTAACCCCATCCTAAACCCCGCCCTAACCCCGCCCTAAACCCCGCGAGTACCTGTACGCAGCGAAGGCGCCCCTCGTCGACGGGCCACTTCAGGAAGTGCAGCATGCGCCGCAGCTGCCCGGCTGGGTCCGTCTTGAGGTGCTCGTAGTGCACCACCAGCACGCGGTTAGCGGGGTCCGTCCACTGTTGCATGTGAGCACTCCACTCGAACACCTGCTTCATCACGAACGAGCGCCAGCCTGCCGGCGGCGGCCTGTCAGACGGCGGCGCAGGCTCGTCTTCCTCACTCAATGGCCCAGGGTATGGCCGAGATTTGATTGCGCAGCGAGCATATGACCCACATTTAAGAAGGTAGCCGTGGGACGGGGAGTCGGCGGCCACCATTCTCAACGACATGCGTAAATAATCAAGTCAAGTCAGGTCATTACCAAGTACTCACTTCAAATGTGGTTTGTTTTTTTGTCACAGTCATGCCACGTTGCACAAAATAGCATAACAACACTATACGTAACACCAAAGCTGTAATGGGACGGTAGTAAAAAGCAATCTCATGAAAATAAGAAAACCTGTCGTACGGTACAATATTACTCGGACTGAACGGCTGAATCAGGTAGAATTGACGCCGCTTAGTCAGCGAAAAGTTCGTTCGATCTCACACGCGAGCGTCACTACCTCCTGAAAAGTTTTACCACTCAGTCGCGACACCCAACGGCTCGGCACCACGCGCGACGTGGGGAACCTCAGCGCGTCTCTTGCGACATGGGCGGCCTTACCTTTCTTCAGGTAATTGGAGGACGGTGCCATGCCCTTGTGCCCGCCGAACAGGTAGTTGTGGAAGGAGAGGATGGCGCGGTACGGATTGCGCACGATGACTATGGCTGTGCGGTTGAAGCGCTGCGACTGGTCGTCGCCAAAGTCGTGAACCTTTTGTACGATGGTGGTGCCATCTTCCGGGGCTGACATCTCTCCCCAGTAGCCTGCAACGGGAAAGGTGGCGCTGTAGTTCAAAAGGTAAACGCTGGTAATTTCGGGCTTGACTTCGGGCATGTTTATAATGCGAAACATGCTTAAAATGCTAAAAATGCTAAGAATACATCTTAGCTGCCCATGAACAAGAAACTATGACACTCCACAAGCAAAGAAGTCGTTCAAATCCAGACCCGAATCATGTGAACAAAAGGAGTGCAGATAACGTGAGCAAAACTGAAATCTTGTGAAGACAAAATTAATGCACATGAATGGAAAATTAAACATTCGGGTATATCACTAGTGCTCATTCGTATCACTCAAAAAATCATCTGTGGTCCTTTATTGCAAGACGCAGAACATAAATGATACGTGACACATCACCCACCGATTCCGTACAGGCCGATGTCGTAGTAGACGCTGCCGGTGAACACACCGGAGGCCATCTCCAGCAGGTAGCGGGTCCAGGTGTTGCCTGAACCTGGGTAGCTGGTGAGGGCCACCACGGGCAAGCTGCCCCGCTCAGCGAACCTGTCAGCACAGAGGACGTGCGTCGGAGCATCCCAACACGGCATAGCACGGCATACATGTGTTAGAACACTGCAGTACGGCAGACAGGCGGCAGAGCACCTCGGTACGGCAGAGGCGCCAGAGCCCCATAGCACGGCAGACAGCAATCACAGTACTCCAGTACGATAGACAGGCGTCAGAACACGGCAGATAGGCGACGGAGCACCCTAGCACGGCAGACAGGGATCAGAACACTCCAGTACGATAGACAGCGTCAAAGTACCCTAGCACGGTAGACAGGGATCAGAATACTCCAGTACGATAGACAGCGTCAAAATACCCTAGCACGGCAGACAGGGATCAGAATACTCCAGTACGATAGACAGCGTCAAAGTACCCTAGCACGGCAGACAGGGATCAGAATACTCCAGTACGATAGACAGCGTCAAAGTACCCTAGCACGGTAAAAAGGCGTTAGAGCACTGTAGCACGGCAGACAGGCGTCAGAGTACTCTAGTGTGGTAGACAGGCGTCATTGTACTCTGGTATGGTAGAGGGGCGTCATAGTACTCTAGCACGGCAGACAGACGTCAGAGCACCCCTGCACGGTAGGCAGGCGTCATTGTACTCTGGTATGGTAGAGGGGCGTCATAGTACTCTAGCACGGCAGACAGACGTCAGAGCACCCCTGCACGGTAGACAGGCGTCATTGTACTCTGGTATGGTAGAGGGGCGTCATAGTACTCTAGCACGGCAGACAGACGTCAGAGCACCCCTGCACGGTAGACAGGCGTCATTGTACTCTGGTATGGTAGAGGGGCGTCATAGTACTCTAGCACGGCAGACAGACGTCAGAGCACCCCTACACGGTACACAGGCGTCAAAGCACTCTTCCAGCCAGCGGTGTAACCAAGGGAACGGCCCGGGGCTCCGTGCTTTCTCCCCCCCCCCCCCCTGTAGTACCGGATTTTGTAATTTTTCGTAATAGATGGCTCACAACAGAACGCTGAAAACCAGCTTGGCGCGCTCTCACCAAGTTTTGGACCCTCTCTTGAAAAATCCTGGCTGCCCCCTGTTCCCAGCTCCTTCCAACCATGGGGAATCTTACCATCTGTTTGTCGTGGTTGCTTACCACACCGCGCTTGAAATAAACGCAAGACGGAACACGCCTCATACCATACTCTTTCAGGCTCAAGCACTTCAGTAAACAGTAGGCCTAAGGAACAATGAAGCTGTGACAATCTCTCCGTTTCATTTTTTGACCACCTCAGCCCACCAGACATCGAAGCGCAACGACACTTCAGGGCGAGCAGCACACCAACAGTTGCCTGATACATTCCATCTCCACCTCTAGCTGGGTAAAGCTTGTAGGTCAATAGATAAGAAGCGCTTGCTGCGGAATGCTGTGGAGCGTGAAGGCCGGGAGCATCACATGACAAGGAAGGTAGAACGTCGGCAGCCATGCGCAAATCACGTGAGCAAGCGTAATGCGGTGGTGCGTAAAGAGCTGGTGTGTAAACGCACCTGCCTGGAAAATCACACGGAGACGTGCGATTCATTGGTGGCATTCGCACAGGCCTACAAAATCACACGGAGACGTAAGATTTATTGGCATTCGCACTGAACTACACAATCACACGGAGACATGCGATTCATTGGCATTCGCACTGGCCTACACAATAACACGGAGACGTGCGATTCATTGGCATTCGTACTGACCTACAAAATCACACGGAGACGTGCGAATCATTGGCATTATCACTGGCCTACACAATCACACGGAGACGTGCGATTCATTGACATTCGCACCGGCCTCCACAATGGCGGGCGAATGCGCAGAGAAAGAGATGACTCAACCTGCCTACTGCTCATACACATTCGTTCAGTTACAATATTTGCGTCGCCAACGTTACTTAACGATAGGGCACTGGAACCTCTCCCAACGGGGGGGGAGACTATAAGCATTTCTGGCTTCTTTGTTTCAGTTGGCCCCATAGGTAGGATGATAATTTTCAAAAAGTTCGTCGCTCAACCTCCCCTGCCCCCGCCCCGGCCCCTACTACATGGCAACAGACCTTGCATGGCCTTTTGATTTGGGGCCATGACTTCACATGCTGCTTGCGCTGTCCAAAGAACAGGGTGTGCATAAACAAAGCGGATCAATGTCCAGCATGAGACATTGTCTCAATTCTTTGCGTAGAGACCCGCAGTAAAATCCACACATTAGAAGGTGTTTGCAACGCAGCGCTGTGGCTACTGAAAAATCCGGTACGGACGCTTTTGATTTCGGGAGGCACTGTAGCCTTTGAGGTTCATCAGAAAAGGATGAAATATGGTTAAACAGGGCGTCCTGGGAATGATCATGCAATTTGTTTGCCTGATTATGTCTGCCAAGAAGTGCCAGGGACCTCAAAGTGTTGCAAAAACGGAGGTGTGGCCGCGTGACTTTGATTCATTGATTTTAATATTGTGCGGGCACATCATTTTTTCATGCGGCTACACTTCGATGTCATGCATGACCGCAGATGATAAGGTAGCCACATGATTTATCATCTATGCGTAGGCAAGGATGTTTCTTTTACCCGCTTGCCGTCATCAGCTAGGACAATCAGTTTCAGGCACTTGAGTGTTGTGGCGCTGGTGCTGAGTGATTCCGTGAGCATCTCTCCGTTTTACAACTACTCCATCTCAGCACATCACATCAAGGTGAAACATCTCCTTCCAATTGCTGCACGCTACATCCATCCAGCAACAAGCTAACTGGGCAGCGCTCCGTCTGTTGTTTCATCAGCATGGATGAAGAAAGCGTTGTCACTGCTTATGTTACGCTGACGCGGCCGTGCAGCCTGCCGGCACCTTCTATTTCGTGGCTAACCTGTTTCCATTCCACGCGTCACGCTGCCGCGAGCGTTCGATTGCTATGGCATTGGGCCTGCGTCGTCGGATTGGCTGCAATAAATGGCTCATTTTATGGCCCTCCGCCACCGGGGTAATATTTCAGAGGCATCCCATGACTTTGAGGTGCTTTTCCCATGCGTGCGAAAGCGAGTGATCCTTCTACCACGCTGTGGTAGAGGATCCGCCCCTCTACCACGCTGTGCTAGAGGGGCAGAAGAGAGCTCATGCCCAGCAGAACTTATGCTTAGCAGAAATTACGCTCAGCAGAATTTGTGCTCAGTAGAAGTCATTCTTAGTGGAACTCATATTCAGCAGAACTTGTGCGTAGCAGAACTTATGCTCTGTAGAAGTCATTCTTAGTAGAGCTCATATTCAGAACTTGTGCTTAGCGGAGCTTATGACCAGCAGAAATTTTGCTCAGCAGAACTCATGCTTAGTAGAACTTATGCTCTGCAGAACTTATGCTGGCCAAAACTTATACTCATCATGATGTTAGCCTTTTACTGCCCTGTGGCCCAGTTGCCCTAGCCAGCACAGTATGTCTGACGCAGGCAACGGCGGTTAGTTGTCGGGTCGTATGTTCGTGACCCAGGTGAGACGAAATGCGACCTGGCAATTGACAACTGGCACAGTTGTGTGTGTGCCCGTTACCCTCCTTTTGTAGCCTGGACCACCGGTCATGAATGACGGATCTTGTGGCACCAGCTTTACACGATCTGCCCCGGAGCAAGAATCCTTTGGACGCCAATCCTGGATCACCAATCCTGAGCCACCGATCCTGTTCCAAGAACCCTGAAACACCAATCCTGGGCCACCAATTCTGGACCACCAATTCTGGAGCACCATTCTCGGACCAACAGTGGTGGAAAACATCGCCCGACATTTAAGGTGCGTAGTTTTGTCCGAAGTTTCAGAACGCGGACGCAACGCTTATTGGCATAAAACATTCGCTTATGTTCGAACTAACGGAGACATTTCTAAATCATGTACCCAGCGCGGCCCGCATGTTTATCTTTGAGATACAGGCCGCATGAGGGGCCTATCAGAAATACGATATAATCAGTCCAAGCCATAAGTGCTTAAGGATCTCGGAGGGATAGTAACCTGGTGTAGCTCAGTCATCATTTCACATTTCTTCGCCGACCGGCATGCCAACTTTCCAAGAAAGGCTCCACGTAAGCTGGATCCTCTAATTCCGGTCCACCGTTCAGGCGTCTCTCGACCAAGTCACGTGTTAGCACTGAGCACCTCCCGAGCACAAAGGCACGCGTCCATGTGAAGGTACAGCCTGTGACCAAGCAAACGCACAACCTACAACGCGTACAACGTGCAAAGTTCGCAAGGTACAACGTGTACAGCATGCAGCGTGTACAACGTACAATGTGTGCAACGCACAATGTGTGCAATGTACAACGTGTGCAATGCACAACGTGCACAACGTGCAACGTGCACAACGGACAACGCGCACAACGTACAAATATATGTCACGTATAACGCGTGCAATGTGTCCAGCGGGTACAACGCACAACGCGTGCAATGTGCCCAGTGTGTACAACGTACAACACGTGCAACGTGCAACATGTGCAGCGTGTGTAACGTGGACAACGTACAACGTTAGACCAAACTGGAATCAGTTTACATAAGCGTCGACCTCAACTCATGGTACGCTAACCATCCATGCCGCACGTGTTTTTCAAGCTTGTCTCGAATGATTCACACCCAGGGCTTTGGGTGCAAAAGGCCAAAGCCCTTTGGCTCTTGAACCTAAAGGGGATTCAAGTGAGAATAACTAGCAGCGTAGGTAACTGTTGCCAAATATGGGCCCATCTAGTTCAATTAACAGCTTTGGCGCCGGCCTTTTTTAGACCGGACTGCAGAGGGTTCAGATGCAGTTCAGTACCACACTGTATCACTCCTGACACTGTGCGACTGTACTGTACTGTGTCTGTACCACTGTACAGACACAGTACAGTGCCACACCAGAGCTGCAGAGGGTTCAAACGCAGTCCAGTACCACACTGCACCACTCCTGACACTGTGCGACTGTACTGTACTGTGTCTGTACCACTGTATAAAAACAGTACAGTACCACACCAGATATGCAGAGGGCTCAGACGCAGTCCAGTACCACACTGCATCACTCCCGACACTGTGCGACTGTACTGTACTGTGTCTGTACAGTGGTGGTGAAGACAGTGGTACAGACACAGTACAGTACGACACCGTCGCCCACGACCTGGCTGGTTTCGTTGGCCAGCTATCAGTTGATCTTGCCATGTCAGTGGAGTCAGACAATGCGCCTACCGTGGAAGTCGAACCCAGTGCCGCTGGATTGCACGAGGGGGCGACACCGAGGGGGCGATAGGGTAGTGAGCGGTGTCCGTGCAGCCGCGGTGTAAAGATATGATATTTTTTTAAAGATATGATATTTAAATCATGGCCCGCGCCGCGTTTCGAACTCGGACTCTGCCTCTTGGGAGGTTCCACAGTTTTGTGCTGCGGCGTACCCAGCGCCGAACGGCTGTTTATTTGTTCAGTTGCGTAGCAACGCTTAAGACAGATCGCACAATTTGCAGTTTCTTTGCTAGTCGTGTAGCAATACGTTAGGGGATTGTACCATAAGCATTAGGTATACACACGATTGTAGAAATGCGCGGCTTGCATGTTGTATAACATGGAGCGTTTTGCTGCAAACTGGGCTATCACCTTCCTAACCCTTACTCGATGACGAACAGTGGCACTCTTGTAGCGGGGAAGTTATATTATGCATTTTACAGGGCTTAAGCTTATAAAAAGTTTTGCTGCTTTGCTTTGGACGAATAATCATCACACCTGAAAGCATATTTCCAACACCAGCCAACGCAACTTGCAAAAAGTAAGCTTGGTCCATCACGCAGAAGTACAGTGCAATACGGAAGACCCGTTACGCAGTTGCCGCAATGGCCTCTCGTATGGCCAGTTCAAAATATGTAGTCGTATAAGTCAGAACTTTGCAGAATAACTGCATTGTAGATGGAGAACGGTTGCCAAAACACAATAAACCGCGCCATTTAGAAAGGAATGCCGAAGCTTTTGACGCAAAGCTCATATTGGTGGATACAATTCCTTTAAATCGCGTCAGTTATCGCATGACTCACCGGCGTAGCGTAACGTAAACATTGCGACGAACGTCTGATGTGATGCGTAGTTACAGCGCAGTTACGCTGCAGCGAGAATTAGCCGAAACATTTGTCGGTACGCGCGGACTGAATGACAGCTTAGCGCCAAAATGAATGAAAAAGAGCACCAGCTGGGTGAAATATGGTTTCATGGAGTATGATAGGAGTGTAATAAGGGTATGGTGGGGTGTAATGTAGCTGTTCTGTACCGTTCCGGTCCTTGTGGTCTCGTTTACAGCGGGACCCCGCAAGCACATCCTGATTAGTCGCGTGACGTTGGCTTTGTTCGCACGTATCATGCCTACCTTGAAACACCCAGCAGGAAATTTATATATATATATATATATATATATATATATATATATATATATTTATAGATATATAAACATATCACTACGGACCACAAAATGAGATAAAGGTTGTACAAAATAAGGTTGCATCACAAGTCGCTCATGTTTTATAACATCGTATGCGTATCGCTGGCGTTACGCCTCATTTGCATGTGTTGCGTGTTCTGTGTTCATCTATGTAGTATGTACTGACGCGGCGTTAGAATAGCAACTCGCTGGATTTCGCCAAGGCTCCCAATAATGATAATTATTATGATAACAACAATGATAAAAGTAGAAGTAATGATAATAAAGATGATGATAATGATACTGATAAAAATAACAATATAAACAGGGATGAGGGCGATTACGAAATGGGCAACAACGGAAAATCCGTGCTTGTCATAGAGTTTGGCTCATTTCTTCTAAAAATCAACATAGCAATGACGGAAGCCAGGCTGAACGTTGATCCACTCATGTCATTCGGTCCTAAATACGTAAATAATCATGACATCCTTTGAAATATTTCACATGCTGCTGCATTTCCAGCACTTAGGTTTCGTAACGGCGACGAAAACATAATTTAGATACTGACCTGATGCCATAATGACTGCAGCCCTCCACATTTTCCCAGGGCCATCTGACGGTGGAATCTTGCAGTTTGACCTTCAAAAGGTCACCACCAGACGTATCGGAGTTTAATGCAGCACTGCAAAAAGGCACAAAGCGTGAGATGCTGAACAAGCACAAACTGAAGCGTGAGATCCTGAATAAGCACAAATTGAAACCATTATTGCGATAATGGTCTCAAAGTATCCCACCCACCCACCCCAAAAAATGGGAAGATGGTGGGCAAAATGCGGGGAGAAATCCGCTTGTTTGGATACTTTGAGGGCAGGTCGGGTCATTTTTCACTGTTCAGCCCCACTCACCCACCCATTCCCCAGCTCATTTTGCGGAATTACTGCCATGACCATTACATTAAGGGTGATCGATCACTCACAGTATGCTTCTTTTCTTTTCTTTTTTTCAGTTAATTTTTTTCGTGTCTGCATTTCACTTCTAATGCAACTTTTAATGCAATGGCAGGTTGTATGGAAATACTGCAATGGAATTAGAGAAGTATTTGATACTGAATAATGGTGACAAATTTACAATGACATAATCAGCGACTGCATTGTGTTTTACGACAATAGCCTCGCCCGTCCGTCTCGATGGTTCTTTTTCACGTCAAAACCATCGCGTTAGCTCAGTTCAAAGCACCTGCCTTGTGATTCAGCCGCCCGTGGCGGGGCGGGTTCGAGCCGCTTCCGGAGCTCACTTTTTGCCCCTGGCTGGAATGGTCCGCGGTCGGAAGCATCGGTCGCGCTAAAATTCACGTGACGTCAGAGGTCAGAAGAGACCGTGCCAAGCATTACGACACGCCCAGATTTCGTCGGCAGATTATGCTGTTGACCAGGATTTTACGATCGGTAGGTGGGTACCAGGGCTCATGCAACAAGCACTGCTTAGCCTAGGCTCTGATCCCAGAAATCCGTCCAATAAAAGGGCTCGGGTAGCTTTTTTCTGAAAAGTCGTAGCATTACACGATATCAGCAAGTCAGCAGTGATGGAGGCATGGTTAGAAAACGCGTGAGGCTGGTGTGACAGCATACGCTAGGATTGGCATTGTCCTGTTATTTCGCAGTGACGAAAAGGCGTTTCCACACCGAATTTTGTCGGCGTAAAACATCTTCGGCCGAATTCAATTTAAAAATTACCGAACGGGAACACGACACGTGCCGCGCACCGTTTCACGGAGCGACAGCGAACATAGTGGTCGCATGAGTCAAAACACCGTGGACACATAGGACCAAGGAGGCGGGCTTAGAAGCCGCGCCCCCCAAGTGGGGGTCAAAGGCGCTAATCACCCGGCCATCACGTCCCCTCTTTGACCGGAATGCCACGCGGAGGTAAACGTTGGATGTCTGCGCTGTTCATCCACCTCATGGCCCAATTGTTCTTCGCAGCTGGTCATCAACTGCGCTTCCCATGTAGCATAGATCCATTATTCATAGCCTAGTGATTAACTTCCCCTGCGGAGTGCGGACAGACGTGGAGGTTTCGTTCACAAGGTTTCCGAACCATGACAATATATATATATATATATATATATATATATATATATATATATATATATATATTGCATCGTAAACCATGCAGTCCGTTTGCCGTTCTGGAGCGGCTAAAAAAACTCCCCGTAACCAGCCTCACCATGAATGCAATTATTTTCATGGTGCCATTCGCAGCGTCTCGCCGCCCTGTGTTACTAACAGCATTTTTACCTCGAATCATGAGAAAGCGCTATGATGCGTCACTAACAGGTCAAATGAGCAGCAGAATATCATGTTTAGGTTAAAAATGGTACTATGCGTTTCATTAGTTCGTAGCGGTAGCGAAATATTTTATGTATCAATATAAAAATATATTATACTTAAATAATTCGTTATGGTAGTGAATTGTGGTAAAGTTCGTGTTTTGGGAAATCGCGATCTTAGCTGAGAAAAGCTGCTATAAACATAATATCCGAAATCAAATATGATACAAAATTATCAGCATCAGTACATCTTCTGCTTTTCTGCTCATCGCAACCTTGGCAACGGTTGGGTCATCCATGCCCTAGTGACAAAGGTTTTGGTACTTGGCCGGACCATTTTTTTTTTAGTGGGTTAAAGCAAAATCCTGTTACATTCGCAATACCAGATATGTGTGTTGTCACTGAACATATTGCAGCAAATTTCGCTGGTTGCATGGGCGATTGTAGATCTAGATTCGTTGCAGCAATCAAAGGCATTGAAATGTGTCGTAGCAAACTAGGTTTTAACGGGATCTAAGGTTATAAAATACTTCTGAAAATATGCTTAAGTGTAGTTGAAAATTTCGTTTCCCATCGTCTAAATTGTCTTGATGGAATGAAGGCGTGGCCACCAGAGTCTACTAAACTTTATTGTTTTCTCGGTACCGTCAATGACAATGGCCGCAACGAAATGTCTTCTGAAACAATAATGATCCATCATGGCTCTTTCCTAAGCCGGGGCATGTGCATCTGCCAAAAACGTGATCCCGTGGCAAGAGCTGGTAACCACGGTCTGACCAATCATCAGTCATAACCCGGCACATATGGTCCTTGGTAGCATTGTTCAAACCGATCACCAGCAAGAACACAGCACACGTCGTCCCTCGCAGCACACCTCCAACCAATCATCAGCGACAACACAGCACACGTCCTTCGCAGGACCACCCCAAGGGCTCCGGCTACGGGAGACAACCCCACGCGAGAGGACGTGGAAAGTAAGGCGGACATAGGTGGGGAGAAAGCACCGTGCCATCTCCTGGTAGCACAGAATCGTCGCCCAAGCCGCCCATTACTGCGCTGTGCCCAATGTGAGCCGGATACAGTTTGGGCAGAACCAATCAGCAGACATCGCCACCAGGGAACGCATTCTTTTTCTGGGCCGTCGCATAGTTGATGGCTTGATACACATGGCTGTCTGAATATTACTAGTCGTAGTCGTCCTGCAGCTGTCAAGAGCAGAACAACGTTCTCAAAAGAGGGTCACCGCTTTGGGTCACTTTTCACGCCTCACTACAGGATTATCGTGCAACTCTTCTGGAAAGTAAAATGAATGTAGCCAGGACGTAAGTACGAATTCGTAGTGAGAGGAGGGGAAGGGAAGAAAACAAAAACAACCACTGGAAAGCCAGGTTGGCGCGTCACAGGCGCACGAAATTTCCGTGTGGCGTAAAACAGCATCACATGTTCTCACCTTGCTCAGTTTTATTTATCTACCTCAAACTTGTAATTGTCAACACGCATTCTCATGCGTATTAATGCATGAAATAATTTGAATCGGTCCCAGATGGTGAAACGTGAAGTGATTTTTGAGATAACTCTAGAAGCTCAGGTCGGCGCGCTGCAGACGCGCAAAATTCCCTATCACCACAGGATAGCTGCAATTTGACGGCCACCTTGTGGCGGTCGGTTTGCTGTAACGCCTCAGCCCACAACACCAACAGAAGCATCGCATGAAGCCAACGCTGAGCTTCTATTGAATGGTGGAGGCACGGCTCCCTCCGTCGCCTCCACGCTCCTCCGCCGATGTTCCGGTAGGGTGGCACGATCAGGGTGTATTCTTAGTCAAAAGTCGGAGGGGGGGGGATCATGCAAAAGTCTGAGCCTACACGCAACAAGCGGGAAGGCGGACTCCATGCTGGACCGTACCAACTTTCTCCCTAAAACAAGGGGCGAGACCACATCCCTGGTGTCCTTGGATGAGTGGAGCTTCCCACGTCGACAGCCGCGCCCGCCAGACTCAGCTGGTGGCGGTTTCGAAAAACCATCGCCACTGCGCGGTCTATGTCGTCACGGCACGTCCTTCAAATCCCCCCACAAATCACACGCGTTTGTGAAACGCCAGGCCCGCGGCCCAGGATGGACGGAGGCGATGCGATGGCGGAGTTACGGTGTGGGCGCCTGACGCAGGGGCGCCTCCAGGACGGCAATCTGGGGGTGAGCAAGGGCGCCTCCAGAGCGGCAGTCTGGGGTGAGCAAGGACATCTCCAGGGCGGCAGTTTGGGGTGAGCAAGGGCGCCTCCAGAGCGGCAGTCTGGAAGTGAGCAAGGACATCTCCAGGGCGCCAGTCTGGGGCGAGCAGGGGCGCATACAGAGTGGCAGTCTGGGGGTGAGCGAGGGCGCCTCCAGAGCGGCAGTCTGGGGGTGAGCAAGGACATCTCCAGAGCGGCAGTCTGGGGTGAGCAAGGGCATCTCTAGGGCGGCAGTCTGGGGGTGAGCGAGAGCGCCTCCAGGGTGGCAGTTTGGGGTGAGCAGGGAGCGCAGTGAAGGTGAAATGCTCCGTGAAATGCGCGTAGTCAGTGACGTTCCCGATGGGGGCTGGCAGTGACATTCCAAATCGGGGAGGGGGGAGGGGGGGTCTGTGACGTTCCAGTTGAGGACGGTTACTTGCGTGTGAGGGACATGGGGATGGGCAATGATGAGACCATTAAAATGTGTTCGCCCGCCCACACCTCTGGTCTGTCGTCATCCATTTCTCGCCGTCTGACCAACCCCTAAGGCGTAGGGGTATGAGCCGGGTAGAACGGCTCTGGAGTTAGATTAGGTTAGGCAGCCATTATGCATGCCACCATACACTTTCACCATATGCCACTACCACCTTCCAGAAAATCGAACACGGGCCCTGTGACAGTGCACGTGAGGTGCGTTGTTGACTAGAAATAAATCCACCGAAGGACTGATCGTGGCGCGCGCTTCCGAACCAATTCGCAATGATACTTCAAGTCAATGCAATCGATTATGCCAATCCAACCAATGCGTCCTGTCTGAGTCCCGAGTGTAAAGCTGCCCCCTCCCCCCCCCCCCCCCTCCCGCCCTGCCATCGCCAGGAAGTTAACTCGCTTCCCCTCCCCCTAAAAACGAGTGAACAACCTCTACTTTTAATACGCCAATTCTTTCCACGCGTCCCGGTATGGTCCATGTTAATTCACGGAAAAGGTGCCACCCTCAGCCCGCCGATTCCGCAGCCAACTGTCAGCCAATCAGCGCACACCGCCGTCAGCTGACTATGACCATCGCCCCAGGCGGCGCCTCCGTTTCCGGAGAATCCAGGTCACGAGCTGTGGTCCTGCCAGCGAGACCGGTTGGCTGGCCTGGGA